ATGGATTTTGTTGAAGACCGGATGGCCTTCAGCTCGGTGTTTAGCTGATTGTGGTGCTCCATGTCCTTTGGAAGGCACACACTTTTGGCAAGGTTGAAGGCCAGTATGTGATCCTTCTCAGCAAGCATCGAATCAGTTTCCTCAATATCTCGGTTCTGATAAGTGAGCTTCGGTGCCCACTTAGAGGTAGCTCGGTCAGATGGCTCTGGTTGCGGACTCGGTGGGTGGCTCGGTGGGAGGGTGGTTTCGTCTTCATCAACTAACCGTTGTTCGGCCTGGGTAGTCCGGGCGGGTTTAGTCCGGCGTGATGAAGAAGGCTGTTGAGAAGGAAGGGCCACCACGGTCTCCTGTTGCGTTTGGCTTGGTGGCGGTACTTCGGGTCTGTTGGTTTCGGTCAAGAGGGCCCTGACTCTATTTCTCTTGGCCATTTCTTGTTCGGCTGTGAGAAGGACCAGGATAATTTGGGGTAAAGTTGGGTCCGGTTCTGGGGCGTCCTCAAGCAGAAAATCTATTACTCTGGCTTTTCGGCGACCGCTGCAACGGTATGTCGGCTCAAAATTAAGAAGTTTGGCCCAACTTCTTTCTGAAAAACGTAGTGCGGCACGAAGCGTGTTCAAGTTGGGGTAACTATACAAAGATTGAAGATGGGCTGAATCTGTATAAACAAGACAAACTGTTAGTTCGATTCAAGAGCAGGTAGCCAAAATAAAGCAAAGCATGGCAAAAACCGAAGTAATTATACCAGGTTCTCCTTTATTCCAGTTTATACTTCGGCCAGGGATCTGGGCTTGCTGGTCTTCAAAATTGCCAGACACCCAGAAAAAGTCATCATTGTTTAAGTCCTTATCCAGCGTATCTTTTATTATTTTTTCCCTGCGGCGGCGTATCCTAAGGTAGTAGACCTAGCCGTCATCTTTGGAGCCAATGGAGTATTGGTGGAGTATTTCGGGTAGACCGAGGTTAAGACCGGCTCGACGGTTTAGTTCGGCTATTCCCATTATTATACGGTAAGAATTGGTGGAAAGTTGAGTTGGGCATATTCTGGTTTGTCTTAGGAATTCACAAATCAAGGGTTGAACGGGGAATCTTAGTCCGGTTTCTATTATTGATAGGAGGGTGAAAGGTACATAGCCTTGTTTTCCCCATGGAAGGGTATCTTGTTCGGCCAGAATAAGCTGGACGTCGTCAGGGATGTTGTAATCCCTTCGGAATTCGGCCAGGCCACTAGGGGTTTCTACCAAAAACCTATACTTCCCCATTTATTTTTTAAGTTATGGATAAATTAGTTCGATCGCAAAATTTTGCTCAGTAGATCGGTTGGGCGCGCAATGGAGTGCCTGGGCAACCTAAGTCTGCAAAGTGGAAAACAAAGGGGTTAAGCACAGATCATTGGACCGTGCTACAAAATAAAAGTAAAAATTGGAGTCCTACTTTGGCTCTGTGGATGTTACAGGTTCTGTCTCGGTTTCAACAAGATGCTTAGTAGCTCGGATTGAGCAGGGGGTTCGATAGCTCAGTCTTCGCAAGCGATTCGTTATCTCGGTTAAAGAAAAGGCTCAGTCAGACCGGTTGAGCCTCTAGGGGCAGCTTTCTGAGTTCGGTCTAAAAACTTAGAAAGTTGGCTTAGCCCCAAAGACCTAGCTTGGTCGAAAGATAAGGTTTCAGTATGCTACGTTCGGACTTGGTTCGGTTCGTTTACCTCGGCTAAGGTCTATCAAGAAGTGGTTTTGACTTATTGAAACTACTGGTACCAACATGGAGTGCTAGTTCGGTTAAAGTCTGATAGAAGGACATTGACTAAAAACTACTTTTTAGTTCGGTTATATGGTAATTGTGGATCAAACACTGTTTTATAGATTACTTCATGAAGTTCATGAGGTTTTTATGAAGTTTTTCCTAGAAAACGCAAGGTAGAGCAAGAATATATGTTTTGCAAAAATAGAAACAGTGTGCCAAGAATGAAAGAAAGCAAATGCAAAGACCCTAAAAGCAAAACAGGTTTGAAAAACTTACCAGGTGAAGAGAAGGAAATGGAAGTAGAAAATAGCAGCGAGCACGAGCTTCACAGTTGCAAAAGATGGAGAACAATGGAGGCAAAAAGAGAGAGAAGAGCTTGAAACAGTAAAAATGATCGATGAGGGTGATTCAAAGGATGAAAGGGTTGTTTTGTGGAAAGAGAAGGGGCAAAAGGCGGGAACTGTTCAAATTTTATGGAGTACGAGGGCGGCGCGACAGCTGCAGTAAGCCAATATCAGCATGCCATGTGTCATAGGGATGAGAATCGATTCAGCTTCTGTGATTGAAGGGACGTTGTGACCGGACAAGCACAACTCAGCTTAGGTTTAGCTCGACTGAGAGAGTTTTAGCTCGGCTGGAAAGGCTAAAGGGTTTTTTTAGCTCGGTTGAAAAGGTAAAACTTTAGCCCGGTTTATAGACAGGTAATCCCTATCATGCTACACAGATGGAATTAAGGGGCAATTGAGAGGGTAATTTATATGTGAAATTGGGCCGAGCTGGGCCTTTATGGGCCTCAGTACGAAGAGCTGAGTAAAGAGGCCATAAAGTTACTCCGGTCTTGAAGAGGCTTAAAGTTAGCCTGATCTCAAGCCCAGAAGGTAGACCGGTCCGAGTTACTTTTGATGTTAGTCCGGTTGAAGGACGTTTTGTAGTTAGACCGGTTTAAGGATGCGTTGAACTTATATCGGTTAAGGCACAATATGGTTAGTTCGGTCTAAAAGCCTTGCTAGAAGTTAGATCGGTTTAGATTTAACACTGTTGACAATGGAGGAACTGGGGTAAGAACACTGAAGGTAGAACCGAACTAACGATAGTTCGGTCTACTCTGTGGCTCGGCGTGATCATGATTACTTCGATCATATTGGAGTTCGGCCATGGTAAAAACCATTTCACTTGGTTTAAGCAGTGAGGGGGGTGTTGAAGGATAAGCATTATTTTTCAGGAGTATGAATCCTAGGAGGACTCTACATGGAGGAGTAAGAGTCCTATTTGGATTGTGTCATACGGAACCTATAAAAGCTTACAAACATCACCCTTGGAGAGGTAACACAACTTTGTTTTCTGAATACACAGAGCTTTGTCTATTTGTCAAGCTTGCTGACTTAGGCATCGGAGAGGTTTCCGGCACACACCCGCCGGCTAGCTCACGTTTGTGTTTTCAGGTGATAAAGCGACGACGTACAGAGGAGCGTAGACTTGATCAACAGGATTATACGAGAAGGTTTATTTCTTTCCCGTACAGCACCCAATTTTAAAATTTAATAAAATAGATCATGAAAAGTCTAATAAACCAAACTAAATCAACAAATTTACAGATAGATTAGATTACACGAGATTAAATATAATTGCTAGTTCTAAAATTATCAGTTTTTTAAAATTTTATATCTTGTTCCATATTTCGAATGACTCACGATTATAAAAATGATAAATTATCAATAGATTTTAATAGTTGAATTTAATTTTCATCAAATTATATTTAAAATAAGTTCTAATAACATCGTCGTTAAAATAATTTTTTGTAATAATTTTTTTTGCATATGTTGTTAAAAATTGACAATTAGTGACTTTTTTGTCACGATTTTTGTAAATTGTCACTAAAACTTACCATTATTGATGTTTTTTCCGTGATAAATTTTTTAAACTGTCGCTAAAAGTTAAAAATTAGTGACTTTTTTGGTGACGATTGTTTTAAACTATCGTTAAAACTTATAATGGTCACTGAAAATTAACAATTAGTGACGTTTTTTAATAGTATTCGATGAAAAATATTATTAATTATCATAAGACTTATTGGATAATAAATCCATCTATTAAGATCTAAACGTAAGTTCCAGTTGTAAAAATGGATTGACAAAATGTTATCAATTTTGTAATTTAACTAATTATTCCCAATTTTTTCTTTTATTTTGTATCCTCTCTCTCCCTCTCTCCGTCTCTCTCAATATTCACTAGTCCCTTGTATGGTGGATATTAAACCGAGGAGGATTCTCTCCCGTCCAAAATTTAGAGTGAAGGGGTTGTTTGGGCCCATGGGATTCACCATGGATTCCGTTTTGATAATTCAAATCGTTTATTTTGTTAGACACTTCGAGTATTTCATTCACAAAAAAAATTAGGTCAATTCGATAATTGTAACTTGTTCAATTTACTGAATTTTTCACTAAAAAAATAGACAACAATTGTATTTTTAAAAAATAAACCATACATTTTTTATGACAAAAATAATAAATTGAATAAGCTGTAATTATTGGATCGACTTAATTTTTTTATAAATAAAATATATGAAATATCTGACAAAATGAACTATTCGAATTATCGAAATAAGACCCATAATAAACTCTACAGACCCAAATAACTCCTTATAACTCCTTCCAATCCAAAATTTGGATGGGAGAGAATTCCCTTCCATTAACCAAACGTCCTATAATCCAATCTAAAGTGATATTCGCCTTGGAGCCTTTCCCTCTCAGTATCTCATGAGGAGTTGCCATTTATTAGGTAACATGAGTCCGATGAGATGTAGTTGTTATTAACCAGACTTGCAAAGTATTGATTGCATTGATCATTTCCATTATCGCAGACAGGTGCATGGATAAGACTTTGCGTCAACACTGTGAGATAATTATTTCCCGACTGTCAATTTTAAACGACAAAAGTGGTGACGTGACGACTTGGTTTACTCTGTTCACCATTTTATCATCATCTTTGTTTTTCCCTGTGAAATGCCAAAAATTAAAAAAATTAGAAACAGAGAACACCATGAAGAAATCAATGGAAGGTTCCACCAAGAACACCATTTGGTCCACCAACACCTCTCGAGCCACACATAACCCAGTTTCGAGACTTCTCGATTCGAGAAATCTTATCATCCAAGACCCAAACGATCACAACCCAGAAAATTTTCTCTGGCATAGCGTCGATTACCCTTGTGATACTCTGTTACTGAGCATGAAAATTGGGAAAAACATGGTTACAGGTCGAGAATGGCACATCACATGTCTTCGTGGAAATGCAACGATGACCCAGCCCAAGGTGATTACACTTACTGGTTAGATCTTCATGGATACCCACAAATCTTCGTCAGCAAAGGCTCTGTTGTGTTGTTCCGAGCCGGACCTTGGAATGGTCTCTGGTTCACCGGCACTGAGACGACACTAACCAAGAATCCAATTTTCAAATTTGGATTGTATTTTGAAAAGGATGAGATTTACTACTGGTATGATCTCCTTAACAGCTCTGTTGCTTCCAGGTTTATCTTGACTCCCAATGGCTTTGCACAGAGATGGACATGGATTAATCAAAATAAAGGTTGGGTGCTTTATGTGAATGCACCACCAACTGTTAATTATGATAGTTATAATTTGTGTGGTGCTGATGGTAGCTGCGATGTCGATAAATCCCCTGTTTGCTGGTGTTTGAGTAAATTTGTGCCTAAAAGCCCGAAAGATTGGAACTTGACGAATTGGTCGTGACGGTGTGTTCGGAGGATAGTGTTGGATTGCAAGAATGGAGATGGATTTTTGCAGTATTCAGGGGTGAAATTGCCGGATATGCTGAGTTCATGGTGTAATAGGACGATGACGCTTGGGGAATGCAGAGAGGTGTGCTTGAAGAATTGTTCTTGTATGGCTTATACTAGTTTGGACATAAGAGAAGGTGGAAGTGGGTGTTTGCTTTGGTATGATGACTTGGTTGATATTAGACTATTCAATGAAGGTGGCAGGCAAGACATTTACATAAGGATGGCTTCCTCTGAGTTGGGTATGTATTTTCACTGAAAAAATAGTTTGAGAGAGTGAGAGAGGATAGAGAGAGAGAGAGAGAGAGAGAGAGAGAGAGAGACACTGAATTGTTTATTTGTAATTGTGTGTATATTTTACAAAGAGAATGCACTCTCTTTATAGAGAGAATATGATGCATTGGATGCCCACCGAAAGCATAAAGAATTTACAACATAAAAGATAAAGTGCTAAAGCTATAATGATGTGCTATAATGCTAAGCTATGATGCTATAACAGCTATTAACAATTATACACTAACATCCCCCTGCAAACTCAAGGAGGGAAAGCATCAACCATGTTGAGTTTGGAAATAAGATCATTGAAGCGGCCAGGAGGATGAGCCTTAATGAAGATATCAGCGGGTTGATCGACTGAAGTAATAGGGAGAAGATGAACAGTACCACAGGTAACATGCTGGCGAATGAAATGACAATCAATCTCAATATATTTGGTGCGATCATGAAAAACATCATTGTGAGCAATTTGAATGGCACTCTGATTGTCACAATAGAGAGGGGTAGGACCTGAAGAAGAAACACCCATATCAGCAAGGAGCCAGCGAAGCTAGAGAAGTTCTTGAGCAGTATCAGTAAGAGCTCGGTATTCAGCTTTGGTGCTAGAGTGGGCAGTGAGGGATTGTTTTTTGCTACGCCAAGCAAGAAGAAAATCCCCTAAGAAGAAGCAGAATCCCGTGGTAGAGCGTCGATTTGTAGGATCCCCAGCCCAATCAGCATCGAAAAAGGCACGCAGTTCAAGAGAGAAGGAAGCAGAGGAGTGAAGGCCATGGAACAGAGTGTCTTTGAGGTAGCGAAGGATGCGGAGTAGAGCAGTATAGTGGGGAGTGCGAGGAGCTGACATGTACTGACTGACAATGTAAACAGCATAGGCAATGTTAGGACGAGTTACTATGAGATAGACAAGACTGCCGACGAGCTGGCGATAAAGAGTAGCATCGGAGAGAAGAGTCCCATCGAGAGGAGTGAGACGAATCTGAGGATCAACTGGAGTAGAGGTAGTTTTGCAATCAGTAAGACCAGCATGAGCCAGAAGATCGGATGCATATTTGGCCTGGGACAAATAGGAACCAGTAGAATCATGAGAGACTTCAAGGCCTAAGAAGTAGTTAAGAGTACCAAGGTCCTTCATCTCAAACTGACAGTGGAGAAACTGTTTGAGGTAGAGAATACCAGCATCATCATTACCAGTGATAATCATATCATCCACATACAGAAGAAGAAGAGTGGTACGATGAGAAGTAGTCCGTATAAAAAGAGCAGAGTCATAGGAGCTAGAGGTGAACCCGAAGTCATGAATAGTAGAACTGAACTTAGCAAACCAAGCACGAGGCGCTTGCTTGAGGCCATAGAGAGCACGCTGTAGTTTCCAAACCTGATGAGGTGGAAAAGTGGACCCAGGTGGAGGTTACATGTAGACCTCCTCAAGAAGATGACCATTGAGGAAAGCATTTTTGACATCCATCTGAAAGAGCCCCCAATGGCGAGCAGTAGCAACAGCAAGTAAACTGCGAACAGAGGTAAGCGGGGCAACAGGAGAGAATGTCTCCTCATAATCAATACCATATTCCTGGTTGAAACCCTCGGCAACAAGATGAGCTTTGTATCGTTCAATAGAGCCATCAGAATGTGTTTTGATTTTGTAAACCCATTTGCAGCCAATCGCAGTCTTGCCAGGAGGAAGATCAACAAGATCCCAAGTATGAGCTTTGTCCAAGGCCTGGAGTTCAGCAGTCATAGCTTGCTCCCAAAGAGGATTAGTACAAGCCTCACGATAGGAGGTAGTTTCATAAGTAGAGAGACAACAGATCCAACAATATAATCACGAAGATGGATAGGCGGTTGAGTAACCCGGCGTGGTCGACCCGTAGGAGGATCGGTGGGAGGAAGAACCGGTGGAGAAGGAGGTGTGGCAATGAGAGGTAGACCTTCTGGGAGAGCAGGCTGGACGGGATCAGGAGTGAGCAAGGGCATCTCGACGAAGGAGGAACCTGTATCAAAATCAGCAGAGAAAAGATCTATGGAAGGATTAGTAAGCAGTATAGTAGTGGAAAGTGCGGGTAAGTGAAAGGAGGATAGCGAGGAAAACATTTGATGCTCCTAGAAAACGACATGGCGGGAGATACGAAGACGTTTAGAGAGAGGATCCCAACAGCGAAAGCCTTTATGTTCAATTTCATACCCAAGAAAGCAACAAAGATGAGAACGAGGTTCAAGCTTGGTGTGTTCATGGGATTGAAGTAGAACAAAGTAGGCAGAGCCAAAAACTCGAAGATTGGCGTAAGGAGGGGGAGTGCCATGCAGACGTTCAAAGGGAGTGTGATTATGGATGACAGTGGTAGGAGCACAGTTGATAGTGTAAATAGTAGTGAGGGCAGCTTCCCCCCAAAAGTTTTCAGGGCAGGAAGAAGAGAGAATGAGAGCGCGAGTAGTGTCAAGAATATGCCTATGTTTTCGTTCAGCGTGGCCATTTCGCTGGGACGTGCCAGCACAAGAACGATGAGGTAGTGTACCATGATGCTGAAGAAAGGAAAGGAAATCTGAATCCCGATATTCCATAGCATTGTCAGAGCGAAAAATTTTGATGGCTTTGGAGAATTGGGTGTGGACCATTTGTGCAAATCTATAATAAATGTGTTTAAGTTCAGACCTATTTTTCATGAGAAAAAGACAAGTAAATTGGGAAAAATCATCAATAAAAACAATAAAATAGCGGGATCCCCCCATAGTAGTAGTAGGGGAGGGGCCCCAAATATCCGAATGTATAAGATCAAAAGGTGCAAGGGAAACAGAGGTACTTTTATTGAATGATAAAGCAGGTTGTTTGGCAAGTTGACAGGATATACAATCGAAATTATCGGGAATTACATGACCCAACTGTCCACTAGAAACCAAAGACTTTAAGCGATTAATAGAAATATGCCCTAAGCGATAATGCCAAAGATGAAAGGGAGATAATGAGGAAGTAGATGCAGGAGCAGCGATCTGAGGAGAGGCAGGAACATGAAGGTGAATGAGTTCATAGAGACGTCCATGCTTACGGCCGTTCCCAATAGTCTGCCCCGTCTGAGGGTCCTGTACCAAACAATCAGTAGCAGAAAATGTGACAGTTAGACCAAGTTCACATAATTGACCAATGGAAATAAGGTTTAAGGTGAGAGCAGGGATATGATAAACTTGAGGTATTGATAAAGAAGAGGTGGAAACAGTACCAACATGACGGACAGACATGAGGGAACCATCAGCAGTATGAATGGAGGGAATATGAGGAGATGAGGAGAATGAAGAAAAGATAGTAGAACTGGAGGTTATATGATTACAACAGGCTGAGTCAAAATACCAAGAAGAGTTCCCTGGGATTACAGACAAAGCAGTAGGAGGAGGTGTACCAGAAGGGGAGAGAAGTTGTTTGAGCATGGCCTCTACATCTGTCAAAAAAAAAGCGAGGGGTAGTTGGAGCAAGTGACTCAGAGAACCCCGTAGAGGCAGCAGCATTAGTGTGATGAGACTGATTCCCAGAAGCAGCAGCAACAGTGTGATGAGACTGATTCTCGGAATGATGAAAGCTTCCCCGGGAAGAGCCACCGCGAGAGGAGTGGCTATTGGAGGATGATTGGGATGGATTGCGAAAACAATCCTGTTGCAGATGACTAGGACCAAGTTTGTTGCAGTAGCGGTAGGATCTGACGGGGCAATTGACCAGGAGATGGGTTAAAGGAAGGCCCCGATTCTGACAATAGAGGCAAGTAGTGGTCCGCTGGGTAAATGATGGCCTGTACGGAGCAGTGGCAAGAACAGAGTCCACATGATGAGTTTGAAGAGTACCGAGACGAGTCTCCTCTGATAGCAACTCAGAAATTGCTTGTTCAAGAGTGGGCAATGGATGGCGATGAAGCAGAGAGGCACGTACGGGCTCAAAGGAGGAAGTAAGAGCCATAAGAAAATGCACCAACCTTTGCTGGTTGCGATAGATAGTAAATAAAACAGCATCTTCAGGGGTATGCCAAGTTGGTTCTGAAAGAGCAAGCTGATCCCAAACAGAGTACATTTGAGAAAGGAAGTCATTAATGGACTGAGTGGATTCTTGGCGCATGCGATGAAGTTGGTTCTGAAGTTGATATTGATGGGCAAGACCAGTAGTCTGGTATCGGTCTTTCAAAAAATCCCAGATGTCTTTCGCAGGAGTAGTTACAGAGTCAAGCTGAAAGCGGCCAAATTGAAGACTGATAGAGGTAACAGAGGTATTACGAAACCAGGTAATGATTTGGTAATTCTTACTGTCCCATTCCTCAAGTCGGTCTTCATATGTAGCAGTATGAACAGCAGTAGTGGTACTGTCTTTTACTGGTTTAGCAACATCCCCGGTGACAATTCGCCAGAGCTTCTTGCCTTTAAGAAAGGAAGACATGGCTTGGGCCCATAGAACATAGTTGGAACCATTCAAAATAACGAAAATGGGATGAGAGGTA